CTAGAGCCCTAAAACCCTAAACCGGGAAACCTAAGACCCGAAATCCCGGAAGTCTCGGGCCCAGCCAGGCAGCAATTGATTTCGCTCCTTTCGTTCCTCATCGCTCCAGTTCGTGTGGGCGATGTAGTCCTCTCAGGAAGCCCCAGACCCTAAACCCTAAACCCTAAACCCTAAACCCTAAACCCTAAGCTCTTTGGGAAGCGCACACCCAAAACTTGAGACGGGCTTTATAAACCCTAAAGCCCACTTGGAGCTTCGTGGGTGGTTGTAAGTGGGGTTAGAGGTCCCCTAACATGGGTTACAAGCTATAACTATACTGCTTATATCCCCGCTACAAACTACTCATGAACCTTCAAGCCAACATCCCTGAACCCTAACCATGGTACCTTTGCCAGCCAGCTGACCCTTTGTCGCCGAAACCGCAGGTTTAGGGCTCCGCACGTCAGGACACCCTATAGTGAATCCCAGAAAGTTGGAACATGGATTTAGGATGATTAGTGCTAGGATCCCTTATATCTTAGCTTCAGGATACCGGGAGAATGGTGTTCCAACTTTCTGGCTTTCACTTTAAGCCATCAAGCCCTGAAGACTCGTCTCAAGTTGGGCTCTAGTCCTAACTTCCATGCATTCCCTGGCCCTAACCCTGAAATCAGAACCATGCAGAGCCCCCTCCCCGCCCGCGAACAGAGAGCCTTCGTGGGGGGTGCCTTGGTCTTCAGTCGGCGCCTTGGGGTCGACGGCTTTGTCGACAGTAGGTTTAGGGTTTAGGGTTTAGGGTTTAGGGTTTAGGGGTTACGGTTCGATAAAGCTTCCTTCCACGGTTCGTTGCTTGGCTGGTATGGCGTGTAGGATTTAGGGTGCGAGCAAGGGCTTCAGGTGTATATTTAGGGCTTTGGGAACCCTAAACCCTTGCATGAAAGAAACCAGCGAGTTTGTAAAAAGTCCCATATCGGCCTTTGGGGGTGTAGAATCAGGGTTTCGTCTTTACGGCTTCGGGCTGACTGTAGACTTCTAAAAAGATTAGGGTTTGGGGGTACCGGGTTAGGGTTTATAAGGTTAAAGACACAAAGACTTGAGGGTTTGAGGTTTGAAAGCTTTTCGATCCGCTTGTTTTACGTGTACACTTCACAAGAAGCCCTTTGCATGAACGGATTGGTACGGCGCTCGCACTCTTTGGGTCAGGACTTACAGTTACTTAGAGGGTCCATATAAGGTTGTGGCTGCGCTGCGGAACGACGACATGCCATGGCTTTGGGATATAATTCCAAAGTAGTACGGTATAGGGCTTAGAGTTTAGAGTTTAGGGTTTAGGGTTTAGGGTAGTATATCGTATCATAGCGTGTACATGGACCTGAGTTGTTTTTAGGAGCCCAAATGATGGAACTCCGCATCCCTCAACCCCATAGACTAGCATGGTGGGAAAGAGAGCAGAACACCTAGTCCCTCTTCTAGGTTCCCAATGGTTCGGGCTGGAGCTTAGCGTGAATCTGGAACCATAAGGGTTCAGGGTTGCGGGGTTTAAGGTTTGGGAGATATGGTGTAGTAAGAAATACACAAGGATATTGCAACAACCAATTCCTAGGGGGGGCTTGTAGGAATCGCTGCCGAACTACTACAGACAGGATTGTTGGACATGTTGTACTAAAGCCAAACACGCACAAGCATCCCTGACTACCCCAGTAGAACTCTGCACACCAAGGCCAAGAGACAAACTGCTCTTGGCCGGCGAAGCCTGGCTGTCCTCAAGGCGTCTGGAAACTTAGCAGTACCTAGAGGCCCCAAATAGACTCCCTTTATGGAATCAGGTCCGCTTTGGGGTACCTACCTGGACCGCAAGAAACCCACACTTTGAAGGCTCCTTATTGCAGTTTTCCTTGTACACGTCCTTGAAGGGTTCTATAAGGGTACTAGGGTTTAGGGTTTAGGGTACCATAAGGGTCTATTACTATGGTTTCGGGTGGAAGAGTCCATGTGCCCCAGACAAGATACACGGTAGTCCCAAAGTGCCTTCATAGGGACTACTTGGAGGCCAAAGTTGATAATATTTGGGCTACATGAACCCGTAAGTCTATCGCTGGAGCCTACCATTCCCCTTTTCACAGGAAAATGGTGGTGAATGAGCGAGTTCCCGGAGCGCATGGGTCACGGAGTGCATCTAGTATCTGCAGAGGGATCTGTGGAGAAGCGTGCCTGCTTCTTCAGCACGTGGCTGCACATTGCCCGACGCAGAGGTGATGTTGCTTGCTTGGCCAAGTACCTTGAAGGGGGACCTTCTGGGGAAGCATCTTTTCGCACGGGTTTCCGCGAGAATGTCACGCTGTCTTGCCCTTATGCCGGCTTTCCGGTGGCGGGCCTGCCTAGTTGAGGCTTTGTGCGAAGTTGTTTGCATACCCTCTTGCTTAAATGGGCCTTTTGCCGACCTCGGAGCGTTGTTTCTGGGGTTGGGGCGTTCGCCAGCGTGAACTCCAAGCGGAGGAAGCAATGACGCGTGCGGAGCTTCCTGAGAAACCGGGAGGGATCGGCGCCTTAAGCATGGCTTCTGTGCGTACCACCTCGTGCAACTTGCCGCACACTCACTCACTCACCCACTCACTCAACATGTTAAACCTCCTTACTCGACGTTCCTTACATAAGTTTATAAAAGCTAGATTCTCTGGGGTTCTGGTATAGTCCCCATTGCACCTCCGGTTTTTGGTTTATAAAAAGTTTGTTTTAGGAATGCTACACGGTAACCCCAAAAAGGAACTACAATGGAGCCTGTAGGTAAACCCTAAACTCCAAAACTCCACTGCTTCAAGGGTTAGCTAGACTCTGTCATGAAGGGGTCATCACCTACTATTTGTAAGTTTTTTGGACTGCAGGTATGTCCTTAGCTCCAAAACCTTCCACTTACGACCCACCAAGCCTTAAACCCTCGGCCCCTACACTCCAGACCTGTAAGCCGCTTCACATTCCCAAACTCTGAACCTCTCAGCCGCTTCGCTTCTCGACTCTTACAAGCCGTCACGGGTAGGGCTTACCCCCAAAAACCTACCTTTTTAAGGACTCATATAAACAGATCATAATGAGGAACTCTGAAACGGTACAATATTTCGGGCTTTGGTAGTGTTTAGATGTCGCGAACCCTAAGCCTCGAACCAACTGGAATTGACCACGTCAACAATTCGAGACTGCATGGCACTATTACATTCTAAACCATAGCGACCGAAGTGATAATCATGACTGTTGCAGTCGCCAGAACAACGGCAACCCGACCAGTAACACTCTGTCACAAGGTCTGCATGTATTGCGACTCGAAAAGGCCAAGCCCCAAAGCCTTGCACTTTCAAGCTCTGAAAGCTGGTTTGCAAACATTCCCCGGAATCCTAAACCCAGATAAGTATATGATAACATTGAACTTATAGAGGCCACTGTTTTCTGGAACCCTATTTTAGAACCTTTAAAAAGCCCGAAAAGAAGCCTAGACTCTAAACATCCCTATGTAAGCTCTGATCCCATGACCCCCAACGCATCCTAAACCCTAAACCCTAACCGTTAAGCTTTGAACCGGCGGCCCCTAAAGCCTAAGCCTTAAACCCTGAACCGGTCTAAAAGCCTTACTCACATGAAACCCTAATCCCTAAATCCCGAAACCCTAAACCCTCAACCCTCAAACCTAAACCACTCACTAAAACCTCAAGCTTCCCTAAACCCTAAACCTGTAAACTTCCCTAGAGCCTAAAAACCCTGAGAGCCCTACTGACATGGGTGCCTGGGACTCGACCTCCATCGGAACGCTGTCTTGCGTCATCTGGTCACAGATTACCTGGCAAGGCCCGGCTTCGGGTTTAGGGGTATAGGGGTTTAGGGGTTTAGGGTTTCGGGTTCAGGGGTTTAGGGTTTGGGATTTAGAGGTTTAGGCGTTTAGGGGTTTATGGGTTTAGGGCTTAGGGGTTAAAGGTTTAGGGGTTTAGAGGTTTAGGGTTTACGGTTCAGGGGTTTAGAGGTTCTGGGCTTTGGGGTCTAGGGTAATGTAGGGGCCTGAATGGTTAGACTAGGATTCCTTTGAATTCTTTAAAAGGGATACCATAAGGGCTAGA